ATATTAAAATGTTTAATGTAAATATTTCAAATTAAAAAACTGTAAAAATATATTTGATAAAATACAGTACAAATAAAGTAAAAAACATTTGAAACCAGAAGCTGATCTTCATATTAGTGACAAACAATAACAGTAACAACAGCTTCTTGACAAGTTTAAATTTTTTTTAAATACAGTCAAAATGTTTAAAAATAAACTCCAAAAATTTATTTGATAAAGTGCAAATTAAAATATAGCTGTATCTGCAACCATATTTAATAATGTGAACTTTTAAAATATTGCATGGGAGAACCAGAAGCTGCTCTTCATATTAGTGACAAACTTTGGTGTTTTTTGACGAGTTGCCTTCATTTTTGCTTTCTTTTAATTCAAAATAGGTTTCCATTCTCAGCAGGTATAAGGTTTTTCTTCTACATGTTAAAAAAAGTTGTTAAACATCTGAGTGGCGCACTACCGCTACTAGTGGTGAGAAAGTGTATTGCACCTTATTCAAAATCGATGCGGTCCCGCGGCTCAAAGTTAAAAACTGTTGTTCTTTTGAGGCCCATAGCTTAAGAATCTCTGATTTAAACAATCCTAAAAATACATTTTCAGTCATCTTATAAATGAAATTTTAAAATTAACTCACCTGTATTTGACCTAATACGTTTCTGGCCTGCTGCAGGGCCACTGGTTCTCCTGGCTGGAGGACRTCCGGATCACAACTCACTTCCTGCAGCCAATGCCGCAGCTTTTCTGACATCTCCCTGTAGTTCTGCCACTGGTGCACCAGACTGTCGATGATGCCTCTCCGCTGCTGCGCCCGTCTCACCACACACTGCCACTGATTGCTCAGCAAGGCCAGTTTCACGCTGAAGTCATCGCTGTTGGAGTAATAAAGCACATTAGTTTGTCACAATTAAATAAATTTTACCTTAAATTCCACATTAAAAAAAACAAACAAAAAAAGTCATGATGATGATGATGAAGAAATAAATAAACCAATATTTGGTTTCGTTTTCTACTGAAGTGACACAAAAAGAAAAAAAAATTCCACATTTAGGACTGCATGTCAACCTGTCGTCCACTTGTCCCAAGTCCAACAAACGATGCCCGTCGCTGATGATGGAGTAAAGAATCTGCTGCCTGCTGAATATTTCTGCCTGGAACAACTGCAAGTTCACAGCAATTACTAAAAGCACCGTAGGCAATCTAGAAGATACGAGCACATAATAAACACATCTGCTGTCTGACCTCGTGGTCTCTCTGTTGCTCCATCAAACTCTCCAAGTTGCCCGAAATCTCWGCAGCCAGTTTCTGTTCAGTCTGAGACAGGAAATCCATCCAGGCCTCACACTTCTGGAGGAAACTCTGGTGCTGGAGCAGAACTGACTGCAGTTTGCTGGAAACGAGCAAAATGAACGTCAGAAAGTGTTGAGATGGAAGTTTTCACAGAGTTTAGGGAAATGGAGGAACGTCGAGTTACCTGAACCTCTCTGTGAGGTGAGCCGAGTGAGACGCCCAGGCTCTGTTGAGGCTTTGGAGCCGTTTAACGTCTTTGTCGCTGACTGGTAATCTGTACATCAACTCATTAACACGCTCCAAGTCTGGAGTGAGACTGCTCAGCTTCAACAGATGCTCCTATAAAAACAATACAGTCAGGCAGACGAAGGTCTTTTTTTTCTTTTTTTTTTTACCAAAACAAATGCATGATCAGTTTATTTTAAAAAAATATAACTGACCCTGAAGCTGGAACACAGAGAAATAAATAATGCGTACCTTAAGTTCTTCCATGCGTGTCTGGACYACCGTGAGTTCTGGTGAACCCGCTGAGTCCGACTCCTTCAGCACTTCCTCAGCCTCCCTCGCTCTACTTATCAACACATCTAGTTGCTCCCTGAAACCCTCGCAGGCTTGAGATCCGTGCTGAAAACGCAGACGGACACGGTGAGAAAAATGGACGTTAGCTCGCCGACATCTCTTCATCGGCGACAGCAGATCCTACCTGCAGGGCTTCCCGCTGCCTGTGGAGGGCGTGCTCGAGCGCTGCTAGGCGATGAGCGAGCGACAGGTGGTCGGACGTGAGCGAGGCAGAGGAGGAGGCGTCGACTCGGCTCCTCAGCTGCTCGCCGAACACTTGCAGCTGCTGGAGGGTCTGCTGCGCCGGATCTTGGTCGCTCAGGCAGTCCTGGTGAGGAAACCGAACGTGATAAGATCCCGTGAGAGGAGATAGACCAGCATCAAACAGCTCAAAGAAAAAAACATTATTTATGTTATAAAGTGAGCTGAATTGGTCGTGATTTGATTGTGAGGAGAAGTGCGAGAATCTGCTTGYTTTGTGGCATTTGCGAGCAAAACAAAAGTGGGACAGTCTTTAACAGTCACTGCGGCAGCACTAAATTCTTTTGTCACTGACTAGCAACGGTTTGCATCAATGGCTCTCTGCTTACAAAATTAGGGCTGTGAAATTATGCTCCGACACGCCCAGCATGACACTGTGGGGGGATCCCTGTAGTGTAAATCAGGGGCCTGTCTATCCCTTTGCAGGTTCCCCTCTGAAAGGCCTTTTGTTCGACTGCCTTGCGAGTTTACATTCAAGCAGAGAAAAGGACAGGGTGCAATTTGGTTTTCATTTGCGAGGACAGAGTCTTTGTGAACTCGCGCAGTGAGCTGACAACACATTTTCTTGCAATTCCTCTAACGGAGTGAGCAGGAAGAACCTCCTGGTAGGGCACGGAAAATGGAAAAGTAACCTATTGTTTGATTTGGATCCTTAAAGACAACAAAATGTAAAAGATGAAAAATGTTTACAAAATCAAATGCTGAATGACTCTACTTACGTCACAGTTTTTGGTCCAGGCGTTGCTCTCCTCCTCTGTGATCTCCCTGTCAGTGGCGCTCCTCAGCAGACGTTCGGCGCGCTCTTCCTGTTTCTGAACGGCCGTCAAACACTGGCTGTACAATGACCTGTAGCGCTGCCACAGACCCAACAAGGCCTTACTGCTCCTCAGCTCTTCTGAGATCTGTTCGAGTAGATGGTTCCACCTAAAAACGAGAAAAGGGTTACAAATCTATCGTCACTTTGTTCACAAAGCACCTTTAAAACTGTGGTTTTAAAGGTAATATGAACCAAGGAGCTGTACAAGTTAGGTCAAGCAAACCAAAATCAATAAAATGTTTTTGTTTTTTTACTAAAAAAGGGTAAAAAGCAGAATTAAATTCCCAATTATAGCACAAAAAGAACTGTAAGAAAATTAAAGTTGTGTTTTTTAGCTATTTTTATTTGGCTAACGTAGATTAGCTGTGGTAGCCATCTGGAATCAGGTTTATATCCAAAGCTATTCTGTTTTGAATCCAATCCAGTGATCATTTTCTCGTTAAGACTGGACCCCAAAGCCAACATGCAAAATAAGAACAGAACTGGGCCGAGGATGGATCCCTGTGGAACTCCAAATATGAGTCTGCTGCTGAAAATGACAATTTATCTGTTTAAATGCTCTTATCTGACTGTTAAGACTTAAATCCAGAGTAGATTAGAACCTCTAATCCACACTTAAATAGATGGTTGTGTAATTGCTACCTGATGTTAACATTTTGAAGTGCTCTGTTGAGGGTTTCAGCTACAGATGGGTGACATTCGGTCAGCAGCTGATGAGTTACAGATCCAAACTTCCTCAGACTGCTCTCCTGCTTCTCCATCTCCTCCTGTAAGTTCTTTAGGACACGGAGAAAAGGTTAGATTTTCAACACGTCTGCCGCTTTTTTCCCACAACAAAAAAGCAAAAAATAATAATTTCTGGAGTCCTTACCTCCAGACTTTCCACCTGCTGCTGCACTGCCTCTAAAGACCCGTTAAGGAGTCGCAGTCTGGAAACTGAATATCTCCCCTCCATCAGGTAGCCATTGATTTCTTCTGAAGCTCGCCGGTACAGAGTCCACTGCTCCAGCATGGACCGCAGACTCACCTTCATCTGACTTATCTGATAAGAACAATCAGTAGAGTTTGTAAATGTGTGTGGGGGGAAATTTAGGAAACCGACAAAGTGGTAGGAAGAACTCACCATGTGGTCCAAATTAGCCCAGGACTGGTTCAGTCCTTTGAGGGTCTCCTTCACAACTGAGCAGGCTTCACCTTTCTTATCCTGGATCAGAGCATTCCCTCTTTCCTCTGCTTTCTCTAAATCTTTCTCTTTTTCCTTCACTAGGTCCTCCAACTCCTGGTACAAAGATTAAGACGTTTTTTAAATATTTTTTTATGTTATGTATGATAAAAAATCCAGTGCACCTACCTGACAGTCCTTTAATGCATTCTGCACTGATGCTACGTCCTCTATCCTGTGCTTCTTCTTTAATTTCTCTTCCTGCAACGTGAGCCAGCTTTTCAAAGCCTGGACTCCGTTTTCGTGCTCCAACCAACCTTCCACAAGTCCTTTCAAAAGCTGAATCTAAAAAAAAACCCAAAACACAAATCAAAACAATTTTAAATTTAAGAGCTGGCCCATAGAAAGTAGGAACGGTTTATTGAAATGTGAACATTATTGTACTTTTTCAGTAATAAGCCCCTGAAGTATCTGCCATCTTCTGTTCATAGCGCCCAGCTTCTCAGCAAAGTCTGTTTTGTCGCTGCGTTTTCCCTCCACATCCTGACTGCTGATCTGCAGCACAGACTGGTTCACAAAGTCCACCGTCAACTGCTTACAGGTCAGATCTATACGGAAACCCTGAGAGATAAAGGTGAGACAGTGAGACCGCGATAAGAGTGACAAAATCAGTTAAAAGGAAGGACAATAGGAGGTTTGTTTTGTACCTTGTACTTCTGCAGAAAGTTCTGGACCACCTCCGAGCCCACAGCCCCCATGATTTTGTTGTGATCTTCCTCTATGATGTTCTCCATGAGAGAGATCCAGCTCATCAGCTCTGTGATGGCGTGTCGCGATGCCAGCTTCTCCATTTGCAGCTGACACAGAAGAGCAGATGGGTTACAATAAGAAAACAAATGTCGCAAACGCCCCAGTTACGATTAGAAACTAAATCACTCCTGAGACCTGGTGCAGCTTCTCTTGCACTACAGGGATACGCGTGAGCAGCTCGGCCCACTGCGTGTCGATTTGGCCCTGCGCCGTCCTCAGACCGGCCGTGTCCACTCTTTTCAGACGCAGGAGCTGGTTGCCCGTGCTCAGCACAGACGAACGCAACGACGATTTGGCATCCACCTCTTTGGAAAACTCCTACAAGACGGAGAAACCCGAAAGATAGACTTCAACCAAAGACCTCTTAAACTAATCAGATTATGTTGTACAAAAGCAGAAATGACCCAACCAGGAAGGCACACAGGTGGTCTCTAACAGTCTCCAGCTCCTGAGGTACTGTCACCGACTGGGTGGTCCAGAACTCCAGCCTGTCGAGAGCAAACTGCAACCAGTAGCTCAACTCTGCAGATTCCCTCAGGTACCTTAAACAAATAAGACTGGTCAGGCTTTGAGAGATAATCAGGAGTGATGACAAAACAGAACTCCGTAACAGCGGAGCCTGACCTGCTCCAGTGTTTGAGCGTGGAGTCGAGTCGATGCAGCTCCTTGTTGACTTTAGTGGTGGAGGAGAGCCAGTGATCGCCCAGCTGGGTCAGCTGGTTCTCCAAGTCGGAGCAGCCGACGGACAAGAGAAGTCTCTTGCCCTCCTCCAGAACCTGGTACAGCTGCGGCTGATGCTCTGTGAGGCTCGTCTTCAGACGCTAGTCAGACGGTTAATATCTTAGACTCACTTGTTTTTTTAGGGAAATTAAATTTGTAATCTTTTGTTGCATTAATTCATTTATTTATATGTGTGTGTGTGTGTGTGTGTGTGTGTGTGTGTGTGTGTGTGTGTGTACCTGGTAGAGACTGATCCTTTCAATAAGCCTCTCTTCTGTCTCTTCAACCAGACCCACAGTGGGGATGCTGCACTCCACAGCCTCCAACTGTCTGCACAAAGCCTGATAATCCTCCATCAGCCTGCTCCACGACTAATTAAAAAAGAGTTCATTTAATTTAATGCAGTGTTGTATTTTAGTTCAGAATGTTCAAAGCCCACTTTTCTCAATGTAATTAAATATTATTCTCACCTCCAAGATGCCTTCCAGCTCCACCCCCCTCCTGTGGGCTTGTTTAAGCACATTTTGGGCCAAAGTCATGGTTTCTTCGAGGGTTTGGTTTTCCCTCTGCGCCACCAGACTCGACACTTTACTGTAAAATGTCTGGGTGAGGATCATATGGCATTCAAGTCCCTGGAAAAACTCCTGTATTGAAAAAAAGAAGTGCGTTAAAGTCTGTTAGGAAAGAAAAGCACATCCTCGTCTCTTCTTCCACTGTTCTTCTGACTACTGGTGTGCCTCAGGGCACTATCCTTGGACCTGTGCTGTTCCTTTTCAGTCATTTCACTCAGTACAACACACAGTTGTATATGGGACACGTGCGCCCTCGCGTGCCTGGCTGAAGCCACCTCTATTCACGTCTTTTAGACCGGTGACGTGGTGACGTTGAACGTCGGGTGACAGGCTCCGCCTTCACCCTATAAGTTCGGAGTCACCAGTGTCATTACTCAGTTTTATCACCCTTCACCTCGCGATAGTCACCTCTAAACCTGAGCTCACATAGCTGCTGCTAATTAGCTCAGCTTCAAAGGTTCTTAGGCTAGCTTCACTGGTGCTAACCGCGCTACCTGCTGGTTCGTGTGTCTGCCGCTCGATGCTACTTAAGTGACCTTTATTTTCTGCTGAAAATCTGTTTTGTGGTTTACGATGAGCACAAAACCACCTTCGAAGAAGCCGAAGTCTTCTGTTCGCCCCTGTCCTCA